TTTTTAGTGTATTTGGAATACTTAAAGTGTACGGTAATTATTTTCTGTTTACGTAATGAAGGTGCGTGTTACTAGGAAATAATTGCTTTATTCTATTGTTAATAATAATAATAATAATAAATTAAAGGAAATACGTTACACTTCCACCCCTTTCAGTGCTTTTCCTTCGACTTCTTTCTTGTCTTACTTCATTCATGTGGTTTTAATTCGAGTTATTGAACTGTAAAGACGAAAGATAAATAAATAAAACTGCGCATTATACGTGCTTTTTTCAAAGAAAACAGTTACTTATTTACGTTACGATTAAAAGAAAAATGTATTTAAAAAATAAAAATTAATATTTGTGAAAAGGAAATGCCTCTTAGTATATAGAAAAATAGAATGAAAAGTAATTATTGATGCGAAAGTTCCCATAGCAACAAACCTTATAGTCTCCAATTTTGCTTTTAGTGTTTGTCGCCACTGCAAACTCTTACGTTGACAATATAAATATATATATTTTTCTCGGATTTAAGAGAGAAAATACGCATTAAAGAAGACAATTTCGCATGAAATTAATAAATAATTTCTTCGGCAGATGGCATGCAACGTTTACTACCATGTTTAATTTGCATAAACTCAAATTATGCAAATTTAAAAGTAAAAATAAGAGAGTTTGCAAAGAGTTTAACGTTTATGTCTTTATGTTAATGATAAGACAAGATTTAATAATAAGAAAATTAATCGTATGAATAATATTATGAAACATAATGACACGGCTTTTACCTCATTATAGCGATGTTGTAATATATTTTATAATAGGCTATTACGGTGTTTAAATGAGAAGTGTACAAATGTATTGTATAAAAGTAATACATTATAATTTTATATTGTTAATACCCATTCGAGATTGGAGATAGAAGCGGTAACAGTTGGAAGTGGAGGGGGATCCCTCCGATTGTAATATATAACAGTCCCATTCGGACGAAACCGGAAAATTATTGATATCTTATCACTAAATCCATATGTTTTTTTTTTTGTTTTGCCATTTTATTACTCGATATAACGTTGCATCAATATTTCGAAATTGAACTTATCTACTACATCTACTCCCACCGTGTCACCTGCTATGTTCCTCATTCTCTGCTTCGAAACAACTCTCTTGGGGTTCATTCTCTGTTCCTCTTTGTTCGTCTGCTGCGTCAATCTATCCACGTGTCCGGATCTATCCCCCATTTTCTTTCCTTGATCTTTCCTATTATTTTCTTTCATTGTCCCTGTTTTTATTTCTTTCAACGTACTTCCAACGTAATTCTCTCCATTTTCCAACTTGATGGAAAGGTGTATCGGGTTTATTTAAGCGTGTTTAATGTTCCTATTGAAACGAAAATGCAAATATTTAATAAATAATCACTATTTAACCATTTGAAATAAATTCTTGCTTTTATTTAAATATTCCGTGAAATATTTTAAATTATTTTTCATATCGATCTTTTCCTTCCTCTGTTACAACCAGCGCATTTATAATTAATCCTATTGAATTCAGCGATGTTGGAATGAGATCAACATTAGAAGATATTCTTGTGTTATATATATATTTTAATTTTCCTCGTGAGGTTTACTCGAGATATTTTCAATGAATTTTTTAAATTTCTTCAATTAGATATTTTTAATAATGTAAGAGATCTGCTAACACTGTTTCGGTTACAATTCGTATGCTTAATTACCAATCTCTAATTATAATTTAAGTTTTTGTTTACTCGTCTTCATCATTTATTAATTATCGCATTTGTAAAACCGCCCTTTAACCCCTGAAACATCTGTCTTTCACTCTGGGAATGTTAAATGCTTCATTATGTCAACTAATATCCTTTAATTTTACAGCAAAATGGACTTGAATTTAAGTAAAATTACAGTCAAACCTGCGAACGACGGCCGCTGACTGAGGCATAAAAACTAGGAAGGAGATTATTTGTATGTTATTTTGTAGGAATTCTTGTTTAAATTGAAATTTATCTATAAAAGAAACAAAACCTTTCTGAATAATTGTGTGGTTCACGCAATAATAAAACGGAAGGGATTCTAAGAATAGTCATTTGTAGAAAAATACAGTCCCTGTGTTATTTCATAGGCGATGCGATATTCCAACGCACCGTGTACAAATTTAAGTAGTTGCCATGTTATTCGAAAATGACAGAAGAACACGAAAACAAATTTTATGGCCAATTCAAACACATACCAGCCGAAACGAAATGCCATATTTTACAATGACAAATAGTTCTTGAGATAAGGTTACGACAGACTGACGGACACACAAAATATTTTCTGCTGCTATAATTGATAAAGGAGAGTAAACTATTTTAAAACGATGCGGTTTAAAACAGAAATGATACGTATTCGTGCTCTATGAAAGGTCAAGAGAGAGAGAGGAATCAAATGGCTTTTGATCCCAGAACTTTCGAGAGAAATTTAGGGCCCTACTGGTTTTCCAAATTTAAATCTTAGAGAATTAATAGGGCCGTCGAGAGCTGCACGACGGCCCTACTGACCCCCTACGATATAGTGTCATTACACTTACAAGCGACATTTTGTAAAACAAAAACACATTTATACTCACAGCTGTGCTTGAAACACACAAACAGGGTTAAGTGAATTTTGAGTCACCCTGTAAATACTGTAATAATGAAAGAAAGAAATACAATTAGTGTTAACTTTAGGTTATATATAGCCTATATATATGTGATAATTAATTTATTTAATAACAGAATATGAAATTCATACATTCTAAATAAACATTAATAATTTATAAAAGCTGTGTAATTTTTAGAAAAGTAACTAAATTCCTGGTAATCATCTGTCATGTAAATTGAATTTTCCTTAAAAATTCGCTGAAAAAAAAGTTAAAATATAAATTTAAATTAAGAATTTTAATAATTTAATTTATTTATAGAAAGATTTTATCGATTGAAAGGGAAAATATATTTGGATTTGTATTATTTAAAAAAAACAGAAAAAAGTTCTGGCTACATCCCGTGTTTCCATTGTTTTATGAGAGTGGAAAGGGCCCTTTTTATACGCTACAGTAAATCTAAATTCGGCCTTGAATACAACTAGACACCCTCCATAAAACGTGCATCTAGATAAGGGCGGTCCAAAAGTCAGTTAACCCATAAGTTGCTGTCTTACTTAAATGCTTAAGCGCTTAATCACGTTGTTTATAACGTTTCCACAAAAACACGTTGTTTACAATTCACGATCGTACCCGAAACATAAAACACGGTTAACTGACTTACAGGCCACCTTATATTCTTTCTACAATATTTGAATAATAATTACTCGTATCTTGATTTTACTTGCACGTAAGCTAAACAAGCTTGCAGCTTAGGGCCTCATATTTTTACGTGTATTTTTGTAACAGGCCCTTCTCCTTTACTAATTAAAGGAGAAGGGCCTGTTACATGTTATAGCTTAAGGCCACAGCAAAGTGTAAGACCAACCCTGAAAAGTAATTTATAATTCAGATAATAAATTATATAATCCTTATACATAGTCAATAGGGAAAGTTGAATAAATAACGAATAAATATTATTATTATTATTATATAATATAATACCGTATTTCATAACATTTTTCCTAAATAATTAAGAAAGTAAAATTAAATAATAAATCATTCACCACGTACTTTATTCACACACAAAATACAGTAGACTATTGATTTAACAAACCTCGATATAATGGATTTAGTATTTAAAGGACCTCTATATAACAGATTTCGGATTTAAAGAACGGAATTTCTGTCGTAAAGGAAACATTTATGGACCTTTTTGTTTTGTATAAACACGCTAAAAGATTTCATTCCATTTAGCTTTAATAGAGAACAACCCACCCCAATCAATGCGTTAAATCGTGGTCCTCCTACTGTATAAAAGAATCACAGTAATTATATGTAGAGTAAATAAATGAAATTTTGCCGAATTATAAACTTTCATTTAGTCCACACGAGGTTTTTAAAATACCGTTTATCTGGAATGAGTCCAAATTTATGAAGTTATATGCAGTTTCATCATGACATTTATATTGTGCCCTTATAAATTACAGGAGGATGTGACGCTATCAAAATTACGATAAACAACACTTCCTTTGTACTAACTACACTCGGAAAGTGTTATAAAAATACTAAATAATTATATTAAGGTATTTATTTATCGTATTGTTCACTTAAAAGTTCGTAACACGCACTTATAATCGAAGCTATATGTGGGTTTATAGAGCGTAAAAATGTTAAGTTATCGTTATCTCGCGAAAAAACGTAACGTTTGCGCTTATTAATATTTAATATTACGTAACAAAACATTGTACGGTTTCGTATTAATCGATATAAATGGTACATATATCAGATAAAATCGGGTATATTTATTTAAAATGAAATTGAAGCGATGCCAGTATTTATTGGATTTTTAAGTTTACTCTACCGCAGTTACTCGCGTCATTTTTTAAAATACACATTATTCACGAGTGATCTAATGGAGTTGTATGTATACTTTCATGCCATTTCGGTTCATTTACTTGCACTGGGAGCGATGTAGAAAGTACAATCAGAATGACGAAAAATTAAGCGTAACGTGGAAGGATCCCACACCCACATAACCCCCATAAGTACGAACAATGAACACCTACTGTTTACTTGTGAAATTTATAACACGAACAATGGACTAAACACTTCCAGGTATAAATTTTTGCAGCGTGCATTCTATAATTTTAATTATTTTTTTTTTTTAAAAATGTGATCCTTTCACCCCTTTTCGACGTAACCCTTAAGTAATACATTGTTATAAATAACGTTTATAACAATACAGCTGTGTTTTCTACGTAACTTAGTGTTAATTTTATATAATTAATAAATAAACTTTCTAGCTGTACACGTGATAACTGTAACCAATCATGTGATGGAAATATTAATTGATAACACCTATTTTTAACGCTAGCTAAATATAATATTTTTTGAAAATTTCTATATTTAGTATTGTAGAACAGAGGGAGCCACTTACTATTTATTTCGTCAGAGGGAGCCACTCACTTCAGCTGGTTTACATCATTCTAGTCATATAAGTGCAGCAGTCGGGGGAAAGTGGATGATGGCTGTTGGTTTTGCTTGGCCTGCTTCGACTGCACCGTCAAGTTCTGGTGTAATATACAACTGCGCTAGTGTCCTGGAACAGCTGTAATTGAACAACATGAGATTGAGTGTGATACACGTGGTTTGTGTGAGATCTATGATGAGACTACTAAGACAGACGCCGTTTGTGTTACTTATGTTAACGGTAAGCTCGTTAATATTTGTAACGTTACTGGAACTTGCGGTTAGTCATATCAAAAAGAAAAGTGGTTTTAAAAAAGTCAACGAAGAGATTGATTCGAGCGGAGAGAGTAAAGACAAATCACAGAAATTAGAATCGTTACGTTTAGAAGCAGTCTACGATCAGACAGCTCTGACGGTTGATGCCAACATTCAATTTTTTAGGAATTATATCAACGTAGCCCGTATCAGGCAACTATTAAGGATAATGAGTGATAGTAGGCAATGGTCTAACGGGACTGAAGAGGAAAATGGTGATGGTCGGGTTGTAAATTCCCTGAAACCATGCCCGGAAATTCCACCCGGTTTAGGTGAGATAATTTTAATTATACCTAATTATTATATGCAATATCTGTAGTTTATTCCGTATAAATAATGCTGTTTAAATGTTTTGCTTTTATCAATTATTTTTTTACGTGTAATGGCTTGTTTTGTATGTGTTACCAGTATAAAATATTTCAAAAAATTTTATTAATGACTATCCTTTTTAGTGTATGATTCTGCATAACGTCCACGCCACGTTCGTTTACTGTATTTATCATTCTTTCCCTTTTTTACTAGCACGAAATAGCCGTAAAGTTCGTTTGATTTTCGAATTTGCCGATCGATATCGAATTATATCAAAGGTTTTATTAATATTAACGGTAATTTACGTTTGTTTACAGTTAGTTATTCATCTGATTTACGGTTATTTTTACTGCTAAGTGCTAAAATTTCGTCTAACCTTCTGACATTATTCTTGTAAAATTGCGGCGTTTATCTGTATTAATTTTATTAGTAACAGAATGTAGTTAGATTAATAATCTGTAATATATTCTAATTGTCAAAATAAAATACTAATTTCAACAACTAATTACCTTAATATGACGTAGGAAGAAGGAAGTAGTAATGTAGTGAAGAGGGAATGATTTAATGTTATAGTACATCCGCAAAGATATTTAACAATTATAAACAATTGTTTAGTGTAATGTTTCTGTCGTCTATTATATAAAAATTGTTTGTTTTTATAATAAGATATATATAATACAGTAAAACCTGTTCAAAACGGAACCTTAATAAAACGGAAACCTGTCTAAATAAGGGGAAAATATTTCGAAAGGCAGCGATTTTCTGTGTTAAAAACAACCTGTACGAAACGGAAACCTGATAAGCCCGAACCGTGCGAGCCCGGTTTACACAGGTTTTACTGTATAATATACTTTATCGTTATTTCTACTTACAGATCAGTGTACATTTGTAGTTTATTTGTTTCCTATTGAATGTATGGTCACGAGTACGTATGAATTATCGACTCATGGAAAATGGAAATGAATATTTAATGCCATTTTCTCTCTGCTATGAGTAAAAATTCTCGTTTTAATGACATGTAAAATGCACAGAAATTCCTGAAAAAGAAAAAAAAAATTAAAATAATACATTTAACTACTGTTTTTTTTTAAGCTTAAATTTTTAGAAAAAAAAAAAATATATATATGATTCATAAGCAGAATGAATTATTCATATCAGTGAGGTGTGAAATGAGTTGTTACTAAAGCCATTTATTAGATTTAGACAAAAAATAAATTTAATTTTAATAGTTGTAATTTAAATAAAAACGCAGCTGGATTTATAAAATTAACGAGAAAAATGATTAAATCTTAAGTTAGTATCTAATAAACAAGGGAGCTTTAGAACGGTTAACTGACTTTATGGTCAACCTGTATATTATGTTTACAGATTACTCAGAATTTTTCTTTTTATTTTGTATTTTTTTTTGTTTTTTTAAATACAGAATAGGCTCAATTTTAAAAACAAACCGATCAGATTACATCAAAACATTCCAGAGAAGTCCTTGCCTTGCATCCTTTCTAACTGTACTGTATTTTTACGTTTTTGCCTCCTCCCACCTTTCTTAGAATGAATCAAGCAAAATCTGCGAGTGAATTTATAGAAAAAAAAAGGGGGTAACATTATATTCAAAAATACTTTAATTTTTTGAAGAAAACAGAAGCAGCCACTTACACTGAATTTCAACTCGATCGATTTTCCGTTATCTTCCGTTACAGAGTATAAAAATTTGAAAACTTGCGTCATAAAGTTATTGACCAATCAGATCAAAGCTTTAACTTATAATTTAAAGCTTTCGAAAGGTGGTCTTCTTTTTTTTCTTTTATTTTCTACGATAAGAAATAATTTCATATATAAAAAAAGTGTACATACGACTCTCCAACGTATACATAAATGCCAAGTCGATTAGACCTTTGCTGAGTGATTTTCCTTCAACTGGTTAGTCACGTGTCCTTTATAAAAGAAAATTGCTTTTCAGATAGGAGAATGTGTGTTTATTCAGTGTAGCTTTATTTATTAGTAACAGGAAAAAAAATAATAATTAAAAGATGCTATCGGGAATGAAAAATCATTTTATGATGGATATAAAGAACATTAAACAGAAAATAAATACATACACCTGTTGCAGTGATGTAAAATGCATTATAAAATATTTATATACAATAATATTAATAATAACAACGAGAAAAATCTATAAAGAAAATTTTTTTTTGGTAGTGTATAAAGTCGTCTAGAAGTCAGCCATTTTGGAATTAATTGTAATTAGTTCAATTACATTTTATCAGTTTTATGAGTCTTAAACTCACGTATAATGTGTGTTTTGTAAGCCAGAATGCTGTTAACTGACTTCTTTGCAGCCTGTTTATATTCTGTTTAAATACAGCTGTGACATTTTTAATTATTTACGACTTTATTAATTTGTGGCTGTCGAAATCCTGCATGTTTTTATCTAAATTTATTATTATTATTATTTTCCTTTACGATAAAAAGAACGAGGGAGGGAGGAAGTATGGAAGGGAATATTCGTGCAGGTAAATTGTATATTTACCTAAAATTATTATTGTTTACGAGAATTGTGTTACCAAAGTGAATGTACTCTTGTTCTTCGGTAGCGCCTAAAAGGAAACTTTAACGTTTTTATGATAGTCTCGCATGAGGAGAGAATATCGATTTTAGTTAAAAGGGACTGGTTATGAGTGTATATAGTTTTTTAAAAAAAGAGGTGCTTAAATACGGTGTTAGGATTCTAATACATCTTGTGACGTTTTTCTCATGTTTACAACCGATTCAGAAGAGTTTTTTTTAATTTTTTTGCTAATTTATGAAGACGAATTAAAGAAATAAGAACGTAAATTAAAATTTTAATTTCCTGGAAATATTTGCTTAAAATTTAATTCGATTATGGAAATTCTTCTATGCAATGCATGATATATTTGTTCGTACGTCGAGTAGGTACGAATGATGGTAAACATATATATTACTGTCATCCGTGGCATAATTTATCACTACTTATTGGTTTCTTCTTCTTTAAATTCGTTTTTTAATGTAACTTTGTAATAAATTAGCTTTTCTAATTGAATTTTTTATATGTATTTGATATTATAATGGTTCCAATTTCGATATATATATATTGAATTGTATAATCTATATAAAAACTAGGCGAAGGAAGGTTAAATATGGATATTAATTCTATAGTAAGAAAGTAAAGAAGATAAGGATGATTCTAAATTTAGCATCGCCCTTCAATTCAAGCCTATCCTTGGACCCTATTTCTATTTATCTGCAACATTCTCAGTATTGATCGATTCTTCCTACGCCAAACAGTAATTCTGTAGTGGAAGAAAGATGCATTTTGCTAAGTTTAGACAGAAACGTACTCGAGAGATGGAGGAGATGATGATTTATTTCTCCAGTAAAATTTGTTTAAAATATAGACAAATGGTCCCAATTAACCTTATCAATTTGACAATTTGTTTCACCTTTTTTTTTTTTTTAAAGTTTTAAAGCAGATTTAATGTAGTACGAGTTGACTCACTAATTGATTCAAATCTGATGATGAGATTACTGTAAATTGTATCGGTTTTAACCGTTTACTCGCTTAAATTTGTCCCCATTTTCCTTAAATTCATTCAAATTTTCATTTAGTTAAGTCTTCAATTGATGCATTCGTTTCAATTGTATCGATTGTAATGAATTGGTTGCATAGATTTGCTTAATCTTATTCTAATCAAATGAAAATTTAAGTGGTTAAACAGGACCTCGAAAAACCTAATTAGTGGGCACCAAATATTCAAAATAGAATTTCTTTTGAATCAAATATTCTTAGAAATTTGATAGGGGATCCTTCATCTGCCCTGTGATTATAGAACCATCAAATTTATGTCACGGAAGAGTTAATTCATATATATATATATATTTTCATTTGATTTAAAAAGAATTAAGCAAATAGCCTAATTTTATGTTGGTTTAGTTGGTTATTTCCTTAAATTTGTGTTTTTTTTTGTGTGTTTTAGATGAAATTTTAACATAAAATACGTGAAATTTCACATATTTTAGGCTGAAATTACTTAAAATTGTACTTTTATTTCATTATCAAAAATCAAATTTAACATGGACCCTAATGCTAATGGTCCATGCTAATTTCGATTTTAATATTAAACAACTTTATCAAAAAACCAGTTAATTAATGAAAACAAACCTTTGTTTTATACGTAACATTTCTTCCATTGATGAAAATACACTTCATTTTTCAAAATAAACAGACGATCAAACACACATCATCTGACGTCATTGGATTACTTAATTAAATTATAATTATTATTATTTTCTAAAATTTTATTTTCAAAATTCAGATTATAAAATAATTATTTTTACGAGCACTAAAATAATAATAATAAAAGTAAAGTGAAGTGAATTTTAAATAATTTTTAAAATTTTCTTACCAAATTAAATTTATTTTTAAAAATTACGATCGTGACGTCATCGACGGATCGTCTGTTTATGTAATTATTTTAAAAAACGGTATTTTTATATTTTATATAACTGTATTAATACTTCAAATAACTACAGTTTTATTAAAATGAATAAATATTTTATAGTAATGTCATAATTTTTGATGTAGTTTAGAAATATTAAATGATGAATTAGAATGACGTCATTCAATATAATAATGTTAATAAATTTTTTATAAAGAGAGAATTGATGATTAATTTTCGTTTAAGGGGCCTAAAAATTAATTAAAATACTCGTTTAAAATTAGTATGTTTTTAAATATGTATAAATGAAGCAATCGTACTAATCTACGTCTTTCTTTCTTTCTTATCTAATATGGAGATTCTGGCTAATCTACGTCTTAAAAACATTTCCTTTTAGATAACTTTTTTTTTTTTTTTTATAATTCTAAGAAATGAAAATACTGCATATTTCATTTAAAAGAAATTATTTTTAATTATTTACGAATTAGAAACAAAAATGTATTTATTTTCTAATTTAATTTTTGCAGTGATTATATATACACAGTGGCGCCCCCTCAAATTTTTATCGAATTTAGATACAGAGAAAATAATTTATTTACGATTTTTTTTATTTTAAAGTAATCCAATATTTTTTAATCACTTTGTAAACTTTAAAAATACGGTAAATCAAATAAATGTTTGGACTCGTAGGATGATTAAAGATCGTTCAGTTCTCGAAAGGATCTTGGGAAACACCCGATCGATTTTCCATTAAGCGGTTAGATGACGTCATTCTAACGTCACGAGCGAAGTTTTTTTTTTGTGTTATCAACTTGCTATTATTTTAATATAATTATATATAAATTGAGCGAATTTATAGTATTTAATTAAACAGTAGATAATATATATAATTTTAATTAAGTTTTTTTTTCTTTCTTTATTCCACAGTTGGTAGGATGAAGATCGATTTGAAAAATGGTACATCGAAAGATTTGGAAACGATAAGAATAAATAATCCTGAAGTTAAGCTCGGCGGTGCTTATTCACCTAAAGACTGTAAATCTCGTTATCGAGTCGCTGTTATTATACCTTATCGCGACAGAATAGAACACTTATCTAATTTATTATATTATTTACATCCAATTCTACAACGTCAACAACTTGAATATAAAATATATGTAGTGGAACAGGTGAGAAGAAAAAGAAAAAAAAAATACAGAAAATAATACTTTTTCAATTTAATTCAATTTTATTCCTTCATATTAGGTTCGTTTGGGGGCTTATTTAACGACTGTACGCCCCCAAGTGGTTGGATAGATTTTATTTATTCTTCTAAATGCATAGTTTATCTAATTGATACGTAATTTTAATAACGCCATTCATTCTATACAAATTTATAGAAGAGGTGAGAGTGAGAAACCGTCTTTGATGTCTATTTATTTTTTTTCTTCGTGTTACATTCGATTAGGTTATATTGTAGCGACTCTACTCCCCCAAGTGGTTAGTTTTCTTTTTATTATTTATTTTTTCAACGACAATTTAAAACGGATATTTTTGGAGGATTTATATTTACTTTTTTTTATCTTTTTTATTTAGAAAAAATAAACAGATCTGAATTTATGGATAAAGAAAAACATTTAAGGATATTTATAAATGGATTCGTGTAGTCTATTGGCGGTAGACTTGCATACGAGACCTCCCTGTTTTTAAAATGTAGGATACATCGCGGATTTTTGTCGCATGAAATATATAAATATACGAAGCGAAGATCGTGAAAGTTCTATTACTGAATAATTTAGTGTGTGTAAGCCGCGCTATATAAAATTTTTTAGCTAAGCGAAGTTTCGAGTTGGGAAAAGTTTTATTGCATGCATTTAAATTATGCAACGATTCGGTTAATTTAGTTTATTTATTGAAGTTTAGAAAGTTCTTAAGTTTTTTGGGAATCATTTTAATATATTTAAATGGCATTTATTATTTTTTCTTTTTTATTTAATGTATCGAGAGTCATAAAATTCCTTTTTCGATTCTCAATTATCTAATTAAATTAAAGCTTTAAGAGAGATTAAAAGAATCGCTAAATATATAATTTTTATTTTATTTTTTTTTTTGGGTCTTTCCTTTCGTAATATTTGGAACGCGGTCACGTTTCTTTTATGATTGACCTGGTTTTTCTTTCTTGGCACGCACTTTAATGCAGTCCGATTCAAGTCCACTCGGACTGAACTTTTCTGTATTGCACACACACATATATATATAGCCTATATTTAATTTTCTATTAATTGTAATTACAGAATGGCAATCAAACGTTTAACAAGGGTGTCCTAATGAATGCCGGCGTGAAAGAAGCTCTACGCGAATACGATTATCATTGTTTTGTCTTCCATGATGTTGATATGTTGCCTGAAGATGATAGAAATATGTATAGCTGCCCACAGACACCCAGACACATGTCTGTGGCTGTAGACAAGTTTAATTATACGTGAGTTTGCCTTCATTAATTTTTCTATATTTTTAGACGAAGAAATTTTTTCTCTTTCGGTACTGTATTTTTTTATTTTCTTTATTTTAACACACACGAAAACTTAAAATTAAGTTAAAAGCAATTTCCTCCCCTCTCATTCGTTCCGCTTCCTGATAACCGCTTCTTATTTCCTTTCTGGAGAAAATTGCTTTTCGATAGTTAACCATTTTTTTTATTATATATATATTTAATAATGGGCTAAGTACTACATGACAAATTGAACTCTAACTGGATTTAAGCCATAAAGCCTATGATTGATACGCATCTTTCCCGCATTGTACAGTACGGTACCTTTTGTGCACTGCTGGAAAGATGCTTCTACAGGAGCGGAACACTTTTTATATATAAAATCTATTGTAGTTTAATTGATTTATATAGAAAATTTATAAAGTATATACCGTGAAGCTGTTTTAAAATTATTATTATTTTTTAATATATATTAATCATTGCAGACTTCCATATAGTTTATTAGTTGGTGGAGTTATGGCTATTAATACCGATCATTTATTGCTCGTTAACGGTTACTCTAACCTGTATTGGGGTTGGGGCGGAGAAGACGACGACATGGCCTATCGGTGAGTGAATAACCTATTTCAATATAATCAAAGACAAAATTTAAATTGCTTCCTATCAATATTTCCCAATCGATTAATTTTTTATAAATACTGTAGACCCCCTATAACCCTGTAGATAATTCCGTGTTATATGAATTCCATGTTGTACGAGTCACTTTGTAAAATCTAAGTGACTCGTACAACATGGAATTCATATAACACGGAATTATCTACAGGGTTATAGGGGGTCTACAGTATTTATAAAAAATTAATCGATTGGGAAATATTGATAGGAAGCAATTTAAATTTTGTCTTTGATTATATTGAAATAGGTTATTCACTCACCGNTTAACATTAAACAATTAAACAAATGCCCAATTATCGTCGAGTATTTGGAAATTTTAAATACTAGCCAATCAATGACGAGTATTTAAATAAATTTATTCGTTATTATTGGTCGATTCGTAATTGACGTAGTTATGTTTGTGATGCTGCCATCTGTTGAGAGAAAACGTTGTTTGTTCGTATTTTACACATTATAATTTAAAATTTTCATTTTTATTGATTTAGATTAACGCACAATAAGTTAAACTTGATCCGGCCTGCAGATTTCATAGGGAGATATACCATGATTAAGCACAGCCATAGAACAGAATCGCCAAGTAATATAAGGTGTGATATTGATTTTTTTTATTTTTTTTTTAAATTCTTATATCGTGAATATTCTGCTGGAAATACCTTACGTGATATCTCCAGTGCTTATTAATAATTAATCATGGAAAATAATTTATTTACGATTTTTTTTATTTTAAAGTAATCCAATATTTTTTAATCACTTTGTAAACTTTAAAAATACGGTAAATCAAATAAATGTTTGGACTCGTAGGATGATTAAAGATCGTTCAGTTCTCGAAAGGATCTTGGGAAACACCCGATCGATTTTCCATTAAGCGGTTAGATGACGTCATTCTAACGTCACGAGCGAAGTTTTTTTTTTGTGTTATCAACTTGCTATTATTTTAATATAATTATATATAAATTGAGCGAATTTATAGTATTTAATTAAACAGTAGATAATATATATAATTTTAATTAAGTTTTTTTTTTCTTTCTTTATTCCACAGTTGGTAGGATGAAGATCGATTTGAAAAATGGTACATCGAAAGATTTGGAAACGATAAGAATAAATAATCCTGAAGTTAAGCTCGGCGGTGCTTATTCACCTAAAGACTGTAAATCTCGTTATCGAGTCGCTGTTATTATACCTTATCGCGACAGAATAGAACACTTATCTAATTTATTATATTATTTACATCCAATTCTACAACGTCAACAACTTGAATATAAAATATATGTAGTGGAACAGGTGAGAAGAAAAAGAAAAAAAAATACAGAAAATAATACTTTTTCAATTTAATTCAATTTTATTCCTTCATATTAGGTTCGTTTGGGGGCTTATTTAACGACTGTACGCCCCCAAGTGGTTGGATAGATTTTATTTATTCTTCTAAATGCATAGTTTATCTAATTGATACGTAATTTTAATAACGCCATTCATTCTATACAAATTTATAGAAGAGGTGAGAGTGAGAAACCGTCTTTGATGTCTATTTATTTTTTTTCTTCGTGTTACATTCGATTAGGTTATATTGTAGCGACTCTACTCCCCCAAGTGGTTAGTTTTCTTTTTATTATTTATTTTTTCAACGACAATTTAAAACGGATATTTTTGGAGGATTTATATTTACTTTTTTTATCTTTTTTATTTAGAAAAAATAAACAAATCTGAATTTATGGATAAAGAAAAACATTTAAGGATATTTATAAATGGATTCGTGTAGTCTATTGGCGGTAGACTTGCATACGAGACCTCCCTGTTTTTAAAATGTAGGATACATCGCGGATTTTTGTCGCATGAAATATATAAATATACGAAGCGAAGATCGTGAAAGTTCTATTACTGAATAATTTAGTGTGTGTAANATAATAATAATATGATAGATGATAATCTACTAGATAGAGGTAATATGAAGAGTGAAAGATCTCATTCGATTCTCTCGATATGATACATATCCGATAATATTCTCTCGATGGAAATATCACCAATAATATTCTTAAAAAAGAGATTTTCGATTCCGCTGCACGTCACTGATCTTAAACACGGGATCAACAGCAATAAACGACCGAAACGTGTAGGCTGTCTGGGATACTTCTGGCGTATGTAATCCCCTAATATGCATTGTGCTTGATCTTGTAGCATCTCCACCGGATGAACGTCACAAACTCCCACCGTTTCTAGTTACGAAAAACACGAGTTATAATTAAAACTTAATAAGTATTTATATAAAATCTCTCTGTGTGTGCGTGTGTGTGTTTTTTTTACCTGGTCTGAAGAGTACTACTGCTTTTAAACAACAGCATTCTGTACAGTCTGGTGATAGCTGTCGGAATCTTCTCAGTACTTCCTGAATGTAGTGACGATCCATGGGATGATTATCTTTACTCTCTTGGCTGTTCTTGGAGGTGGGTAACGTATTCAATAAATCAAGTGTCACCGAACACTGTGCCATGTTTAAAAGGAATAAATCTTTCCAACATTCTTCCAGTAGTGTCACCTACAATTAAATTTTTCGTCTATGAGATTTGTTGAATAATTGGTTTATTATTTACTTAATTAGTCCCTTTTTTACGTTTTAGAAAAGAAAATGAGAAGATGTGTCTGATTGGTTAAAAAATTTTTCAAATTAAAAAAAATATATAATTGGATTGGTAAATCAAATCTTTCGAGTAACGCCCCCTAAACAATTTCGTAATTTGCATATAAAATTATCGTATAACAGATTAATAACAGGAAATTACCTGATCACACTTGGATAATGTTTGAAAGGTAGGCAGACATTTGACCCAACGAACTACCATAAAAAGTAATCGCGCAGTAATTTCTTGTAACGATTCCCAATGGCCAACTCCTGCCGACAATGCCACGCCTCCGGTGATAACAGTCCTCCAATCAGAGATGTTAGGATATCCGTCTCTTCCTACGTACGGCGGAGTCAGCAAGGACGGACAGATGATTGGTGATGTATGAAAATTGACACGCCTACCGGAGTTCCACATGCTTTCTTGAGATTTTTCTGCATTGAGTAACATCTGCAAAAGACCCGGTGACGTGGACGATAATTCCTTGTAGATGACGTCAGAATTGGTAGCCGGATTCGAGGGGGATGTAGTGTCTTTGTTGAGAGCGAAGTGAAACGGGGTGACTAGTGTCGGTTTGTTTATCTCGTTCGGATCTTTCATCTTGGGCTTCCTCGGCCCACGTTCGTGTTGCACGGCTGCAATAAAAAAAGAAAGAAGAATTAAATAATCGTACATGTAATTTTTTTTCTAGTTGTTTAGAGATTTCATACCTTCCTTGTTCATGGAAGCTTCGAAACATTTCTTCAGTCTGCACGATCTGCATTGGTTTCGATGAGTTTTATCAACTGGGCACTTGCCCTTTAATTCTCCTTGAGCTTTACAAGTGTACACACGATTTCTATGGATGCTTCTCTTGAAAAAACCCGAACAGCCTAAATTAATAATTAAAAAAAATATATATATAGGCCTATATATAATTAAGTAAATAATTTATATGGCGAGACCAAGAAATGCTTTAATAAATAATAATAATAATAATAATAATAATAATAATAATAATAATGCAATAAAAATTACATATTTTTAAATCTAAAATACAAAAAAAAAAATTACACGATTAAATTGCATTATTACTTCGAAAACGATTTAATTTTTTAAACGTAATTAAGTTAAGAAAATGACATTTAATTACAATTTAAAATTCGATCAATTTCTGTAATATACAACATCAAAAGAAATTGATTACATTTTTATAAAAATGCATTTCTTTTTTTTCTTCTTAAAAATGTAATCAGTTTCTTAACAATGGAAAAGAAATAAAATAAAATAAAAAATTAATTAATTTCATTGCATTTTCTGCGGCTAAGAGGGAAAGCATACGTCCCGCATTAAGGGGCTTTAATTAAAAATTGCATTTAATTAAAATTAATGCGACTTTTTTTCTTTACAATTAACGCAGGTTTTGCATAATAATAATAATAATAATTGATCGTCGGTCGAGTTAGTTTCAATGGTGCATAAACTAATTTATAAACAATTTTAATTAATATAAAGTGTTGGATTAAGACGTGTGTGTGTCTGTGTGCAGACTTATTAACTGCACTTCATCACATTTAATTTAATTGAAATTACCATAAAAATGCTAATTTGCATTCGTTTTTTTTGTATGCGACTTAAGAAAAGTCGACTGAATAATACAGTCGACCCCTCTATAACACTGTTGATAATTCCGTTTTATATGAATTCCATGTTGTAGGAGTCACTTAGATTTTACAAATACGTGACTTACGTATTTGTAAAATTTAAGTGACTCGTACAACATGAAATTCATATAAAACGGAATTATCAACAGTGTTATAGAGGGGGTCGACTGTAATGTAAAAAATCGTGTTTTTCGAGCATAAAAATGATGCAGAAACGTAGTTTTTTTTAAATACACATTCGTCAGTATGTCTGCTCGTATATTTAGGCCTATATCTTTATTTTATTTCTTGAATTTTTAACTTTTCAGGATGATTGTAAGTGAGAAGTTATATAGGATGGGAAATGAGATTTTTGAAAGATTTTATCGATATTTTAAGCATTAAAAATACGTTTAAATGATTAATTTTGCCTTAGAATTAACTCAAATGTTATACATTTTTATCAATTTAGCTTCATTGTAGGGATGATTGATGACATTCCTCTTAGTTCTCTGCTTGAAGAGTGATGCGTATCATCACTTAACGGCAGTTGTATGCCTTTTGATTATTTATCAGATAAATTGTATTATTTGCATAATTTAATAATTAACCAATCAAAAATTACATTTTATTTCGCGTAACGCATATATTTTGCCCATTTTTATGCCCTAGGACATTCAAAAAGCATGGAATATGTAGTTTTAACTTATCAGCAAGTAGATCGCGAACTCCCAATTGATCCGTTCTTATTTTCTAGAAGCAACGCTAAAACGGGGTTATTCAATTAATTAACGCCTTTTTTTAATATTTTAAAAAATAAATTAGCATTAGAAAGTGCACTACATCGCGAGGCGATGCGATATGACGAAGTCGCGATATAGCGTTAAAATCGTTAAATAGAGGTTCTACACGACAATTCTCTTCTAAATTCGTTATTCGCATAAAAAAATCGTTAAATAGAGGACTTATGTATCGATCGAAATCGTTATATGGAAATGGAAGAAGTATTTACAGTAAAGTACATTGGTATTCGTTATATAGAAGTTTATTACAGTCTTTTAAGCATAATTTCGTTATATCAAAGTTTATTATAATATATAAATCCTATATTCGCTATATAGAAGCATATTACATTCTATAGTAATTAGTTTCGGTATATAAAGTACATTACATTATGAGTTATGAGAAATTCACTACAAAGAGGTTTAGTAAGCTTATAGTCTAATAAAGTTAGATTCGTTATAAAGAAGTTCATTATAGCAATAGGAATTAAATAACATTGAGATTTATAAAATTCAAAATTCTACATAACGTACACCGTAATATTCCTCAATATAACGCATTTAATTTTCTACACGCTATAATAAACTTCGATATAACGAATTTAATATCTGTAGATCGTAATGCACTTCAGCATAACGATTTAAACCTGTGTAAGCTATAATAAAATTCGTTATTACGAATACGCAACTTGTATATATATTATAATGCACTTCTATATAACGAATTAAGCTTTAGATTCATTATACAGAGGTATTTTATAAACTACAGATATTATATTCGTTATATAGAAGTGCATTATAGTCAATTCCGTTACGTAAGAGTACGTTATAATCTATAGGAGTAATAGCTTCTATTAAACCTCTATATAACGAATATATCATTTAAATTCGGTATATAAAAGTATATTAGTATGTAAATAAGTTAAAATTTATTATATAGAAGTTTATGTTATATACAAGTATATTACAATTGAAATAGATTAAATTCGTTATATAGAAGTTCTGAATGCTATACAGAGGTTCGTAATGGACTTAAAATTTAATTCGTTATATAGAAAAACCATTAAATTGTATAGAAATTTAATTATTTTACGCAGAAGTTTTCTGTAATTTATAGAAGTTCGCTCATTCGTTATATAGGGGTTCGATTAATTAACATATTCGCGCTTGAATGCGTAACACTTCATTTACATTTAATTGTTAAGACACCCGTTAAAAAGGAAAGATTAATTTAACGTAAGTTTAGGGCCTTAGAATATATTGCGTTATATCGAGGGACAATATAGTGTAAGCGGGATTTGTAAATAAAGTATGTTTGAGCTTTTTTCAAGCAGCTAAGCTGATTCTTGCTTCTATAAAATGCTTCTTGTCACTCGTAAAGTGTGTTTTAGCCTCTATAAAACACTGTCTTGACCTCTATAAAGCGCTTCTTAGCTCTCTTAAAGCTCTTATTGATATCTATAACACTTATTGACTCTCATATAACGTTTCTTGGCCACTATAAAGCATATCTCGAGCCTTATAAGACTATTCTTGACTTCAATAAAGCGTTGTTTGTTCCTCGTAAAGCGTGATTAAACCCCTGTAAAGCGTTTCTCGATCATTGTCTTCTTATTATCATAGGTCTCTTCTTGACCTCCATAAAGCGTTTTTCGATCCTCATTTAGTTCTTTTTATCCTGTATAATAGACTTTCATAAAACTATTCTTGCTTCCTATAGAGAGCTTGACCCTATAATAACGTTTCTTGACCCCTAAAAAGCGTTTCTCGCCATTCACAAAGCATTTACATCGGCATAAAAGTAATGTTAAATGTATGCAAATTCGCATAAAATTCGCGAAATTTCGCAAGTATTCCGCATCAGAATAGTGCCTTGAGATATTGTCGATCAGTTTCAGGCCCAACACGCGATCAATCAGGCTAAAAAATGGGCCTTTTAATGAGGTTTTACGAGCAAGTAATTTCGTACAGGCGTACTTTAACGTATCTAACGTATGATACCCTTTAGGCCTACATAATTAATGGCTTACTACAGGCTGTTACTAGGCCTACACAGGCTATTACCTAGCCTATTGGCATGTTTACAGCCTTATTATCCGGCAAATTATAGCCTGAATTAGCCTACTTCTAGAAGGATAAGATGGAGCAAGATGCTTAAATTTACGTATGCAGCATCACTACAGAGCAAGAACAATTTTCTATATAATTAATTGACCCAGAAATCTATAATAAGCTTCTCTACCTCTGTATAGAGTTACTTTTAACTTCTATATAGCGCCTATTTATTAATTATTCAAGTCTGAACTTAAAGTAGATAGAAGAATTGGATGCTACTCACGATGTTAGAAGATGCGGATATGAAGCATAAATTAAGCATCTCACCTCGATTTAATTGCATTAAATACTTAATATACTTAAACTTAAACATAATTTAATGCGTAATGAGCATAAATTAAGCATTTTTATGCGTTTAAATTCGTTAAATTGATGCTAATGTAAGCATGACTACGATGCTTCTGAGTGTGGAAATTGGGATGCGGAAACGAATATGAGCATCTGTCTGTGAATTACTGAGTAAAAATCACGTAAAATCATTCAAATTTGAACATTTAATGTGTTAAAAACCCATTAAATTGATAAAATGTGAACGTTTAATGTGTTAAATGTGATTTATTCGCATGTGAAAGCGTGGATCCAGAGTATAAATCTAGCATCGCACGCTGGTGGAATGAGTTAGAAAGTAGCTTGTTTCTTTGAAAGAAATGTTAAATATCTAATTTATATCTATGTAAATTAACAGAAAATCAAGCTATTTACCATAATTTAAGAAATTTAAACCCATATTTATGGTAGAAAATACATAAAATAAGACAGAAAAGTGGAATCATGAAATAGCTTGAGTATAATCTCATCGTAAGGCTATACGAGTATAAAAAAATGCTAAATATCTTACAGATAAAGCTAAATATATCGATTATATTTATGTAATTTAATAAAATAAAGATTTTTTAATTAAAATTTAAGAGGTTTCGAGCTATAGAAGAGAGTAGAAGGTTTGTAAAACAGGAGCCACAGCATGCACATAATCGCAAGGCTACACGACTAAGAAAAAAGCCAAATAATTTACAGAGAAAGCTAAATATCTTAATTATATTCATTTAAATTTGTGAAAAACAAGATAAGTATTAAAATTTAAGAGGTTTCGAGTCATAGAAAAGGGTAAAAACCTCACAAAACAGGTTAGAAAAGAGGAATCATAACATGTACATAATCGGATCTTACTGCTACATGACTGAGGAAAATGCTAAATATCTTACATATAATGCTAAGTATAAACTTTATACATATGCAAATTAGCAAAAGACAGGTTATTTATTAAAATTTAAACGATTTCGAGCCGTAGAAGAGGTTAGAAAACAGAGAAAACAGGTATATAAAACCGTAAAACTCACCGTCACAACTGTAAATTCCGTAATGTTTTCCAGAGCTTCTATCACCGCAGACTCTACAAGGTATATCAAGTAACCTATCACCTGTAAAAAGATTAAAAAAAAAAGAAAGAAAGGATAAAATTCTATTATCGTTAGAGGATAATATCACTCTAGAATTAATTCAAACATTTAAAATTGCCATTTAGATAAAGTCTAGAAATCATTAGACACGCGAACGTACTCAAATTCAATGGGACATTAGCGTGTGGATAACAAAAGAGTAGTCCTTTTCTAACTAAATTATCGATTAAAGACCCCATATAATATGTTGAAACTTACGTTTTTCCATTAATTCTTATGGTAAATGCGTTGTGGGATGCGTGAGACAGATAAGATAGATAGAATTTGTATATATTTTTTTAAAATAGTTTGGTTTTTTTTAAGGCTGGATCAGCATCTTCTCCATGATGATGACTTACCTGGATGTTGTAAACTCCAACGAACAAGTGGATGCAGGGGGAGACTTGTTCGACTTTTATGCTCAGGTAGGAATTAAATAGTTTGGGAACGTTGGCAGATGTCGGCACACTCATGCGCAGTCGAGGAAGAGGATGCACGTGACGGATCGGATCCGAAAGAGGAGAGATAAGGAGCACGGAGATGAGGATGCTTTACTTTTCTCTTATGGGGGGATTATCTTACGTGGAATTGTTTACGCTTTTAAAAAGTTAAAAAATTAAGACGGATTCGTTTCTAAATTGTCTGTTAATTTCGGGAAATTTCGTTTACATTACGTTGGTTTTTAAAAAAGTTAAATTCCTCTTTCTCACGACTTTTACATTCTAATTAACAACTTTTGGTCGGAGTTTTTGACGTTTCTAATCGATTTTAATGGCCCTTAATGAGTTTATTTAGACGGGGATAAGTCTAATTTTTGTTTGTAATCGATGTTTATGAACGTTTTAAGGTTAATCTTATAGATTTAATGATATTTTACGAGTGGGGAGGATGAGCTACTTCGAGCGGGTTTTCAGACGTTTGAAGCGATTTAAAAACATTTCTAACGGTTTAAACAAATAAAATACACGTTTATTTACTAAAATTTAATTTAATTAACCTAAATTAATTAGAATTAAACTTAATTTTCGATGTTAAATTAACTAAACTCGCACGACTTTCCTGTTAAATCAGATGAACCAAAAAAAAAGCTCAATTTTTCACTTTATAGCTTTGAAATTACACTTAAGAAGATTAAATACGCGTAAATAACCATCGATACTACCACAAAACACAATTAACTTTACGAATCGCTGGGAAATTTACGTATAACGAGCCGAGATAAGAACGTCACCGACAGACACCCAGACGGATCTATGCTATAAATCTCTCTCTAAAATAAAAAGGAGCAATTTACGACTTAAAAGATAACGATGTAGAAACATGATTTATCGCTAAAATATCCGAAATTTCCGTAAAAAACTGTGGATATTTCATAAAATCTCTCCAAATATCTTAAAATTAAACGGATAAACGAGATATTACGAGTACTAAACAAGTATCAGCTGCTGTAATTGGTCAATAGGCAGCTGTGGCTAGTAAATTTAGGAGCAGTTTGCATGTATTCGAGTCGTAAAGGGGTAGAGAAGAAGAAGAAGAAGAGGAGAAGAGAGAGAGAGAGAGAGAGAGAGAGGAGATGCTCCATTCTTTGTCAACACGAAAGCTCGAGTTTAATTAAACAGAAGGGATATATATATACATTTATACTTTTGCTGATTGACAATAATATGTCTCCTCTTCTATTAAGGTAGTTAACTAAGTAATGATAGCAGAACATGAGAAGGGAAGCACTTAAAAGTTTTACACTCAAATTACATCATTAGAAAAAGAAGATAAAGATAAGAGAAAGAGAGGAAAGAGAGAGAGAGAGAGAGAGGAAGGAGCATGCAGCATCATCAATCAATTCCTCATTTGTAGTTGGATATGAAAATAAAAAAAAAAACCAAGATACTTAATAATCTTGATTGGGAACTATTAATGTTGTTGCTGTAGTAGTATTGGTAATTGTTGTAGCGTGTTCTCTTTCTCTTTGACAAATCGAATTCATAATTAAATCGTTGCAAACTTCTTGGTATAAATGGGTTCCTCGCTACCAAAAAAGAAAAAAAATCGTCATCTTTAATCTCTATTCATGTAAATTATAGCCAGGATGAGTTATTTTTGGTGTCTTCTCATCCGCATCACTGGGATGCTGGAGAGTTGCATCACTGGTTGCTGCAAGTTAGCATCTTTTTTTTCGTAATAAAATGGTGTTTATGTTGCCAAAATTGATGGTTTAGGTAGATTTTTTGGTGTAGAAAGCCTTACTTTTGGTGTAGAAAGCTTTACTTTTGGTGTAGAAAGCTTTACTTTTGATGTAGAAAGCTTGTTCTATCTTAAGTTTCTCTCATCAGATGAGTAGCATCATCACTGATTGCAGGTTATTTAGCACTCTTTATCATCATAACATGAGTAAAATTGGTGATTTTGACAGCTTTCTTAGTCTAAAAAGCTTGAACTTTGACACCTCTGGTCATAAGATGTTAAGTGGAATCACTGGTTGCTGCCATTAATCATCATTTCTCGTGCTATTTATGTTAATAAAATAATACTTTTAGCCTAAAAAGCTTAAGATTTTTTAATGTAGAATGCTTGTCCTATGTGATATCTCACAGTTTCTCACATCAGATGTTAATTAAGTAGCATCACTAGAGCTGTTTAGTCAGCATCTTTTACGATCAAAGATGCCAACTGTAATAACAACCAGTGATGCTAATCGATGTAAATAATGCTTAAGAAGTAGTTTAGACTGTATTTTTAGTGTAAAAGGCTTTAATTTTTGATTTAGAAAGCTTGTTTTATAAGAGATCTTGCAGTTTCTATCATCAGATGCTGATTGAATAACATCAACGATTGCTATGTAGCATCTTTTATCAGGATACTAATCATACTAAATTAGTTTCTAATAAGTAATTAAAGCAATTTTTTTGTTAGTTTTTGGTCTGAAAAAGCTAAAAATATACTAATATTTCAGTTTCGAATCATATTTTACGAGTGATATCGCACTTTCTCTTATTAAACTAAGGGAAAACCGAACTTAAACAGTGAAGATCTGTAATAAAAGTCGAACTTTACCTTTAAAATTGTGAATTTTCGTAAAAATCTCTTACAAAATACAAAATTTAGATAATAAAAAGTGAAGTTTTAAAACGAAATACACAAATTTTAAACCACACAACCTCAATTTAACGCTATAAATATCAAAATAAAGATTTTAAAGTGCAAAAAACACCCCAATTTAACGGTCTGAAGCTCCAAATAAAATCATTATAAATGATTTAACAATTAAAACCTGAAAGTAGAAATTTTAAACCATATAAACGTCAATTTAACGGTATAAAAGCGCCGAATGAAAGCATTTTAAACTAAAACCTCAATTTAACGAATTAAATCTCTAAACGAAAGCACTTTAAACCATCAAAACCCGCATTTAACGACCAAAATCACCAAATAAGAGCATTTTAAACTACGAAAAACCTCAATTTAACGACTTAAATCTTTAAACAAAAGCAATTTAAACCATCAAAACCCGCATTCAACGACCAAAATCACCAAATAAGAGCATTTTAAACTACAAAAAACCCCAATTTAACGATCCAAAACCTTAAAAAATCTACCAAAAAAAAAAAAACTGGAATCAAACAACAATATTTTCCTAAACATCCCATAGGAAAGCGTTAACAACTTCATCATTTCCGTCCCAGGGAATCGGTAAAGGGGACAAACCTTAATCAATTGTGACGAAATATCGAGTAAACAATACAAAAATCTAACTTAATTTAAATGAAACGTGGAAACGGCAACAGTAAAACGTATGGAAAGTTGCCTAACACCAGGCAGGTGTGTGTGTGTGGTTTCCCCCCTTCGAACGTCTGCCATTTTTTTACTCCCCCCTTCCTTAGTTGCGTGTTCACGTGTACACCCGGTTACCAATAATGTTGTTTTAGCTAAAGGACGGAGTGTACAACTGAATCACTTACCATTATTTTCGGTACAGACGTCAAGAAAGAGAAAATTAATGTATTTCTGTTAGGGGGTTTCCTCTGTTGTTTAGACACGTGAGAATACAAAACCTGTTCTCCTTGACCTGTACACATTAATTATAATATCACGTACGGTTTGGAAGTTACCTAAAAATGGCGTCGGAGGGGGTTAAAGACGTCATCAATCCTTTGTTTTTTTTTTTTTTTATTATTATTCCTTTCTTTCTTCCGTTTGTTTCCGTGCTTTCGTGATGATTTATGCTCTTTTAATTCCGTTCTTGTTGACTGTTTCTTGTTTTTTTCGGCATCCAAAACTGCCCAATTTTGGGTGGAATCTCTCGTGTATTCCAGGGACGAAGTTGCCGAATTTAACTGTTAAAACGTATATTTTCTGATAGAATCTTGTGTTTTTTTGGGTTAAAACTGCCAAATTTAATTGATTAAATGTAAATTTTGTTTATCTGAAGGGCAGAATTGTCAAATTTGACTGGTTAAATGTGTATTTTATGGTAGCATCTTGCGTATTTGCAAGACGAAGTTGTCGAATTTAACTGTTAAAACGTATATTTTCTGATAGAATCTTGTGTTTTTTTTTGTTTTTGGGTTAAAATTTCCAAATTTAAGTGATTAAACGTAAACTTGTTTGGTAGAATCGTGTGTATTCGAGGGTCAAAATTTCAGAATTTAACTGTTTAAATGTATATTTTCCGATAGAATCGATTCGGGAGTGATGCAGCAATTTATGACGAGAAGTTATGGATTTATTGTTAAAAATTACGCCGAAATTTTATAATTTTGATGCGGATAAGCAAGAAAATATATTGTTTTATTGGTAAATTTTATCCTTTTATATACTTTGTTTATATAAATTGTTCTAAATTACGAAGGAATCGGCTATATCAATACAAATTTAATGAAGAAAAACACCCGTTTTTGAAGATTTTAAGCGTGTTAAACTGTTTAAAACATAGAAATATCGAGAAATTATTAGATAAAGAAGCTAAAATTAACTCATTATATAATAAAAATATAATAATTTAATATTTTTCAACGTTAATTCTTACCGTAGGACGATTTCATTCGACATTACGAGATAAAAATGCATAAAATTCGTGAAAAAAAGTTAAATTTTGTATTCTTAATGGCTCATTATACTTATTTTCTATACAAAAAAACATAATTTTGTTAAGAATTCTGAGTTTTAATCGCAATTTTAACAATTCACTCCATTAAAGTAGACAAATCAACGTTAATAAATGGAGATGACATAACAGATTCCTCCCTGATTTTGACCCCAATAAAATTAAAAATAAATCAAAAATCTGTGTTAGAAAGGTAAAAATACATCTCAGAATTCATTTATCTTATCAAAATATCTAAATTAATGGTAAATAAT